TCCGTCCTATTTTCAAAACTCCTGTTAAATGTTCAAAAGTAAAACTTTTGTATTGGATCGGAGTAAACTTTAAATAATCTTTTACGTACACAATTATTCCGCCACCTTTTTTATTCGCTCGAAGTTGTGAATATGTATTGTAGGTAGGTATATTATACAACTGAACAATGTTATCAGATATTCCAGCCTCAGTGAGTACAATGATATCTATAGGAATTGGGCAGTTATGAATGATTTGCAGTAGTTTTACAAAGTTTTTAATTAATGACCGGATATTTACATGTATACAAGAGAAACTTAGATTTTTTGTGGAAGGTAACTGTTTAAAAAAAGAGTCTAACGAATTACAATCAATAATTTCTTTAATATGAAATTCTTCCATAGAGAGTACTAAAATGTAGTTTGCAAAGGGAGGGATATAGAAAACTTAAATGCTAATGGGGCTAATTATTATGATTACTTACGATTTATTTTCTTTTTTAATTTGGTCGATGTCTTGTACAGACTGAATAACATATGTTTTACTATTATCGTTTTTTTTACATATACTTTTCCGTCTTTACACCATATATACTGAAATGATTCATGTAGTTGTTGCTTAGTATTGTATAGAAGAGTCTTGAAATGCTTTGAGAGTGCTTCTCTAACGTAGATACGTTTATGAGCTCTGTCTTCGGCGACGTTTTGGAATATTTGTCCCACCGTCAAGTTCTTTTTTTTGCTAGCAGCGATCCATTGATTTCGTGCGTTCTTCGATTTCATTTCGGCGACGATTGTACAGGGTTTGCCTTTGTTGCCGGGTATTCGATACGAGAACTGAATGTCTTGAACATCTAATTCAAGTTTTGTGCCAACAGTTGCTAGTACACCAGGAACATCTGGTGGTGAAATTTCAGGTAAGCCGGCTACTTCTAGTGTTAACGAGAGCGTATTCTGTTCAATTTGTTTTATATCCTGTTCTAGTACAGCAACTCGGAGTTCCAAGTTCTTGTTTTTGTTGTGAAGGTCTTTGTTTTTATTTTCAAGTTCTTTGATTCGAGTGTCTTGGTGTTTGACGGACTTTTCCATAGAATCTATTTGCTCACTTAGGAATTGTAGTGAGGACTGTAGGCCACTTATCTCTTCGCGAAAGGTTTTCTTTAGTTCTCGCGATATGTCTTGTGCCAGTTTGCGAGGGTCAAAAGTGGCCTTCGCATTAACGACGTGGTCAGAATCAGAATCCTCTTCGCCTTCATCATCGGGAACGAGAAAAGATGACCTACGTGACAAGTTTAGCATGCAGTCTTCACAGCTCCATTCTATACCTGTAGAGTTGCGTAGGATGTTCAGCTGCTTGTTGGACAACTTTGCGCAAGCTGAGTCAGCATGGACTGTTTTGTTGCATCTACTGCACTCTAATCCTGGCGCCTTTTTCGTAATATTCTTCTTACACACGGCACATTTACTTAAAACCATATTGTAATTAGGTGGGTAGATTAATTATTTTAATTACGAGAGTGACACACAACCGTTCGTAACAACTGCTTGAGCCGATTGATTATCATAATGAGTGATAAATGTTTTATATGTGATCAATTATTATCAGATGATGATGTTGTAGAAGTTAAGCGTGGTCTACAAACATTAAAAAAATGCTAGTGTCTCTTAATTAATTATTTGCAAAAAAAAATTTTTTGATATGTCTTAAAAAATATAAGATCCTGACACTGCCTTGCCTATACATATAGTATTAATTAATTTTAAACATCAAAGTCAATCAAATCATAATTTGTATGCTTTTCACAAAACGTAATTCACATGTCTACTTTATTTTCCTGAGATAAAGTCTTGAACATTATAATAGCATTTATCTACCAAGAACCGATGTAAATATTTTTTAAATAAGTTTATGCTTAGATTTTTAATATCATTAGGTATTCTATTGTAAATGCTTGGAGCCATGCAGAAAACACTTTTGTGAAGCAGGGCTGTGTTTGCCTTGCGTATGCGAAGCCTGTGTCCGCCAAAGATTCAAAAAGATCCGGATTTGACTTTATGAATAATGCAACTTCATATACTACTCTGTCAAGAAAGTACCGGGAAAAAGTCAATAATACACAAAATGTTTGTTGTTCATCTAAATTTATTTTATCACCTTCAAAGTATTCTCCTTCAGAAACGATACACTTACGCCAACGAATAATCCAATCATCGAAACTTTTTTAAACGCTGTTTTCGGAATTGAGTTCAGTGCTCGCCGCGAATTCTCCTTTATGTCTTCTAACGATTGAAAACGGGTGCCACGAAGGAGTAATTTGAGTGGGAAAAAGAAAGAAGTCGGCTGGAGCCATATCTGGTGAATATGGTGTTTGTTGAGTGTTTGGACAAAAAATCGTTTACAATGATGGCCTTGTGCGAAGGCGCATTATCGTGATGCAAAATCCAAGAATTTTCTTTCTACATTTCTGGCCTTTTTCGTCGAATTTGTTCTCTTAAACGCCGCATAACGCTCAAATAATATTCTTTATTTACCGTTTGACCTTCGGGCAAGAATTTTGAGTGCACAACACCGCGATAGTCAAAGAAAACAGTCAACATGACTTTGACTTTTGATCGACTTTGACGTGGTTTTTTCGGTTTTGGTTCAGTTGGAAGGCGCCATTCCGAAGCTTGTTGACTAGTTTGCATGTCAAACTCGTAAACCCACGTCTCGTCACCAGTAACAATGCGTTTCATGAATGTTGGGTCGGTATTGACTCGTTCTAGCATGTCCTCAGCGACTTTCATGCGATTTAGTTTTTGAAGAAAATTCAGGTCTTTTGGGACTAGCCGAGCGGCAACACGTTTCATACCCAAATTATTTGTTAAAATGGTACGGATCGACTCGCGAGATACAGAAATTTCGGCGGCCATCTCTCTCAAACTTGAATGAGGATTTTCAGTCACTATTTCCTTTACTTTTGCGATGTTAACTTCAGTTGCAGACGTTGATGGCCTACCAGAACGAGGCAAATCTTCCATCACATCTCGACCGCTTTTGAACGCTTTGTACCACTCATAAGCACGTGTTTTTGATAAAGTCGATTCACCGTAAGCCTTCTGTAACATTTTGAGTGCCTCCGAACACGAAATTTCATTGGCGATGCAAAATTTAAGACAAACTCTTTGTTCGTTGTTTTTGTCCATTATGAAATTCGCAATACACACTAGATATTATAAAACTAAAAACAGCACTGTTTTTAATATAAATAACAGATGCAACTCAAATTCCGCGCCAGAATGGAAAACAGTTATGCCAATCTAACAACAACAAAAAAAAAAAAAAAATCGAATTTGGAACCATAAAAAAAACATTCATTCCCGATACTTTGTTGACTGAATGTATATGACTGTTTGGTTTTCATATTATATTCTCTATACTTTTTTTTTCGATTATTTATGTATAATTTTTGTGACTGATTAATTGATTGATTTGAGAATGTGAAAATAATTTATTTTTACTCATACCTATATTGACTGATTTTGTTAAATTAGTACGTACAATATGCTGAAACATACCCAATATTTGCATGCCCAATGGGTAGAACAAAGAGATATGTAACTCAAATAAATAACATCTTAGTCACTATTTATGTCACTAATTATGTACTACACCTTTGTTCGGCAAATAAAGCTATTTGATTTGATATTTTTCAAAATTTTGATAAAAATATATTAATTTTTAATTAAAATAAACTTTCATTACATGTATGTAAAAAAAACGCGCTTTGCATTCTACCTCGAAGGTGTTGATGAAATGAGTGCATCGTCACAATATAGTCGCTTTCTCAGCGGTATGATCCGAAAACCGTTAATTTTACAGAAAAACTATAAGAGACATTTTTGTAGACAATTTTATGAGGAACAATTTTTATAAGACCTCTATTGACGTCCGAGCAATATTTGCAAAAAAAACTGATTTTCGTGACCTTTTGACCTCTTTAATTTTTTTAGCCGACACGATATCCATGTCGATTTTTCACAACTTCATAATAACGCCGTAATAAAGGTGTATACAAAAATTGAGCTCACTAGGAATTTTTCCCCAGATGAAACCTAAAATGACTGGACCACATTAAGTAAACATTATAAAATGCCTCACTATGTCAGAAAAATGATTTATTTGCCATTTTAATTACTTAAAATATTATTAAATCAATAAACATCAAAATTTTTTAAATGTTATTTTTTATACCTAATCTTACAAACTAACCTCCGTTTATTCCAAAGCATTTATTTATTTATTTTTTACTTTATTGCACATCGTACAAAAGGCGGGCCTAATGCCACACGGCATTCTCTCAAAGCATCTCAAATATAAAAGTGAAAATCACGTAAGCTGACCAATCAGGTGTCAGAACTGGCAGAGTTAAGCGGTTCTTAAGACTTGAAAGCTGCTTAAATGATAAAATGCTTCGAAATATACGAAGATAAGACACTTCATATCTATATCGGAGTTTGACGCGTCAAACCCCGATTTAATAAAATTGTGTTTTGACGTTTGCCTGACCAAATTAGTCTCTCCCAGGTTTGACGAAAATTGTTTAGTCAAAAGCCGAAAATTTTCATTTGTTTGGGCTTTGACTAAGTCATTCAGTCTGACCTGAGGATTGACCAGTCCAATCTAGGAGCGCCGGAGCTTCGGAGTTTGCCTATAACATATATACTAAACCTGGAATTTAAACTAGTTAAAGATGTTCAATAGCAAAACCTACAATACCATAACAGCACTACTTTTTGCAGAATTTTAGTTTATTTATAGTCGGAGAAAAATATTTATAGCAAAATAACCCCCGAGTTCTTCACAAAAATTAACTTAAATTTTAATATTTAGTGCTTTACATGTATATCCAAAGTGGTCTCATCTATGTTGGTGGGTGAGAGAGAAAGGACCATGGGCAAAAATGTAAGAAGCCTGGTTCTTACATTTTTGCCCATGGTCCTTTCACAAATATAACGTTTGGTTCTTTTTGGAACCTCAGCGCAAGCCCAAAGTGAACATTTCATGCACCGTAACCAATCATCACAAGGCTTGGATAAATGCATAAACAGTCCTCTTCATCATCTTCGACGTTTTGAGGACTAATGTCGCCTTCGCTCTCTTCTTCAAATAACGTTTTTGTAATTTGTCTTCTCCTCTTTTCTGGTGGATCTTTGGGCTTACTTTTGGACTTAATTTTTTCCATATTGGGCGTGGAAGTTAACACCAAGGAAGTTTGTCTAGCTTTAACTGTACGTTTCCATTGTCTACTGATAAAGCGTCTTTTTGATAATGGAGATATCTCCTCGAGAGGGACAGCTAGGTCACAAGACGAAGGGTATTCTGAAGTTGAAGTTGATTGCAGTTGATTGTCGACTGGTTGAGTAAGGGCTATTGTTTGACCATCACTAATATCGTTAAATGTGGTGGTATATAGCGCATCTTCTTCGTTTAGTGGAATATGCGTCGTCTCTGCAGGCTCGTACATATAGTTTGGAAATATTTCTGGACTCAGAGGTCAAATACCCGTGCTTTTTCATCCATTACAAGCATTTTGTACTGTAGCTGCCTTTCCATACGCTTCGTTGAATCAACCTGCTATTTGTAGTTGTGTAACCACACGCCCTGGATGATTTTTCAGCCACTTCGATATTGCTTGATTAAAGTAAGTCTTCAAGGGCGCGAAAAATGAAACATCTAGGGGCTGCATACGGTGAGTGCAATGTGGGGGTAGGTAGACAAACAATAATAATACCATTTTGTTCCACATATTCTAAAGCTTCAATTCCTTTATGACTTGCATGACCGTCGACAATCAAAATTACCGTAATCTTCAGTAGACGATTTAACAAAACTTTGAAAAGTGTTTCATCCATTTGAGATATAACTCAGTTGTCATCTACCCTGATTGTTGTGCTACACCTAAAGTACCAGAAGGAGCTTCGTCATCTAGTTCATTTTTCATATTTTTTCTAGCAAAAACCATCATTGGGGGTATAAACGTGCCAAAGGCGTTTACACAACAGCTTACCGTGGTGTTAATACCACGTTCCGCACTTGTGATAACGCCAACTTGTTTCCTGCCTGTAGTGCCCAATATTTTCTAAGGATTCTGTACAGTAAAAAGGCCTGACTAATTAGCATTATAAATGCGATGTGGCCTAAAATTTTTCGATTCCAATAGTTTGCCATATAGTTCATAAAACTTTTGTACTTGAGGCCGATTAAAAGCCTGAGCTCGAGCTGCTGATGTACTTTACGGTTTGCGTAGAGAAATGGCTTTATTTCGATAAAAAAATCGTTCAAACCATTGCTGTCCAGCTTTTCGTTTTTGTACATTTAATTTGTGAGAAATGCTATTTCTCTCAGCCAACTCAAAAGCCAATTCTTGAACCGCTGTTCGCAGCTTCAAATGCTGAACTAGCTGCTTCTCTATATCAGGTGTAAACGTAGACTTCCAACTGCCCACACTTGCCGTATAGGAACTTAAAAACTAACATTCTTAACTTTGAAAATCTTCGAAAAACACATTAATTGCCATTTCGTAAAAATGTGAGACACTATTTTGCACGTGCAAACAAGAAAAAGAGAAGAAAACAAAATGGCCGTGTCTATCAATTAGTATTGGGCCTAGCAGTGCCATCTATGTAGAAATTATGAAATTGCTTTTGAGCTGTCTGGTCATAGATGGCACTTATTCAAATAAAGTAAAATGTAGAAGTTATTAAATTATTTGAAAATTTGAAAAATTTTGAAAATTAGTTGAAATTTTCCGCAGTCGAGATTGCCCTGCTGCACCTTAATTGCTATTTCTGGTTTGGTCAATGTTAAAATATTTATTTGTTACAATTTCCTGATGTAATATGTTTTATTTGTCCATGAACTATAAATGCCGACTTTAATTGTCTAGCAGAAGTTGTTGTTAAACCCTCCTTTGGCTCTAATGGCACTAAAAAATAGTCCAAGTGATCTTGACTTAGTTTGTAAGTGCTTAAAAACTGAAGGTTATTATTTATCACTTGAGTCTCGTACAAGTTAATCACACTTTTAATACAAATAAAAAATCCGGTTTTTCTATTTGATGTCATTATATTTCTGTCTCCTAATTTTAATTATTCACAGATGTGTGTGTGTTGTGAGTGGTTTCTTGTATGAATATGCTTTTAGATTCCTTGAATTTATTACGTCAAATAGATATTAATTTTTCGAATAAAATCAACAGTACCAGCAGAGTTCTTAAATTCGTCAATATTGAGTTCTGTATTACAAAATTCAATAGCATTTGCAACGGATGCACTCATTACTTGGGCTGCCAACTTGACGTTCATTATTTGCTTGTAAAAATTTATGTGTGATTTATTTAATTTGTTACCTAAACGCAATCGTTCATTGTCTTGTAGTTCTACCAATAATTTTACTTAATTCCATGATACAACACGACCTTGTGGATCTGTTATTGGAGACCCTTTTCTCCTAAGGTAAGTTCAGCATGTGTGAAGGGTCTGGAAATATAACAATATTATTATTGCCGACGGTGAAGGAAGGAACAATGTTATCACCATCTTATTTACAACCTAAAACTTTGGCCATAGAAAAATTTGTCGGACATCCATCGAAAGTTAGTGAGATAATTTCAATACCATAATCCTGACTTAATATTTGGATACAATTTGTTACTTAACTGGCATAGTGTTCAGCGCTTATCCCATCATTTTCCAGGAGCCATTTACACATGTGAGCATAAAAATTAACGCATCTTTAGCTAATTGGTCATTATTAACGTTTTTGCCAAAGTTAACGAATCCTATGCAATCTTTGCCATCAAAATCTAAACCTTTTCTAATAGCCATTACATCAAAACTTAGTGCGCAAATGGTTTTGTGTAATGCCTTATTTTTTGTATTTATTTCATGAAAAAATTTTACAGCTTTGTGATTGATTCGGTGAAAAAACCAGGATTTCCATAGATGGATTGGTACCATCGTGATAGTGTACGCGGATGAGGGAAACAAGTATTAAATTGTTTCCTAACAAAGGTGTAAGCTTTCGGACTGATGTAGTGGAGACTTAAGGCAAATTTCCGCAGTTCAGGCGAGTACTTCCGTTCAGTTGTATTCTTACACAAAAACTTTTTTAAGAAATGACGATTGGTTGCATCATCGAAGACAGCAAGTCAGCAGCTTCCTGGTTAATTAGGGACCAGTTTTTACCTTCTCAATCACAATATTGTTCAGCAGTTTTCTTTTGCCAGGTTTTTGATCTTAAAGCAGCTAATTTCTTCCTTCTTTTAACACTTAATATTTTATTCTTTTTTTATTTCCTAATTAACTCTTTTTACAAGGAGTCATTTCAACTTCTGGCGCTACTACCATAGGTAATATTTCTTGTGTCTGAAATATAAAAAAAATATCTGTATTTATAACAAATACTTATTTACAAGTACCGTAAATAATAAATATAAAAAAATATCTCTACAGCTTTAACGCTATACACCATAATGGCATTGTACCGATAACAATGTTTAAGTAGATATACATTCAGTCAACAAAGTATCGGGAATGAATGTTTTTTTATGGTTCCAAATTCGAATTTTTTTTTTTTTGTTGTTGTTAGATTGGCATAACTGTTTTCCATTTTGGCGCGGAATTTGAGTTGCGTCTGTTATTTATATTAAAAACAGTGCTGTTTTTAGTTTTATAATATCTAGTGTGTATTGCGAATTTCATAATGGACAAAAACATCGAACAAAGAGTTTGCATCGCCAATGAAATTTCGTGTTCGGAGGCACTCAAAATGTTACAGAAGGCTTACGGTGAATCGATTTTATCAAAAACACGTGCTTATGAGTGGTACAAAGCGTTCAAAAGCGGTCGAGATGTGATGGAAGATTTGCCTCGTTCTGGTAGGCCATCAACGTCTGCAACTGAAGTTAACATCGCAAAAGTGAAGGAAATAGTGACTGAAAATCCTCATTCAAGTTTGAGAGAGATGGCCGCCGAACTTTCTGTATCTCACGAGTCGATCCGTACCATTTTAACAAATAATTTGGGTATGAAACGTGTTGCCGCTCGGCTAGTCCCAAAAGACCTGAATTTTCTTCAAAAACTAAATCGCATGAAAGTCGCTGAGGACATGCTAGAACGAGTCAATACCGACCCAACATTCATGAAACGCATTGTTACTGGTGACGAGACGTGGGTTTACGAGTTTGACATGCAAACTAGTCAACAAGTTTCGGAATGGCGCCTTCCAACTGAACCAAAACCGAAAAAACCACGTCAAAGTCGATCAAAAGTCAAAGTCATGTTGACTGTTTTCTTTGACTATCGCGGTGTTGTGCACTCATAGTCTAAGATCCCGCTATACAACGACCTTCACCGAGATGTTTATTTGATAAAACATATTTTATATATAATTTTATATGTTAATAAATTTATTGCATATGGGTTGCCTAGCAAATTTCAGTCCAGAGTATGATTAATTAATAATTAAAAAAATATATTTTTTTGAATATTTCACCGGCGTGATTATTGCATAAATTATACATCAATTGAAAGTATGAAGTCCCTAGAATATGCAAACGTTAGGTTGCCTATTGTTTTCCGGTCACAACTCTCGGGTTGCCAGGTATAAATAGGTAGGTTGATATTAGCATTTTGCACCGGTATGATTATTTAATAAAATATAGGTGAAAATAAAGATTATTTTATTACAAACACGATGGTATAGGGTTGCCTACGAAAAATTAGTCCCAAACTCCGGTTGTCGAATTTTAAAAATTAAAATATTGCTGCGAGTCAGTACGTGCGACAGAGAGGTCCCAACCAACTATCCCATGCGATAGAAGAGGGCGCAGCATAGCAGCTGTTTGAAGCCCGCCCATTTAAAGAAAGAGAGTGCGCATGCTATTTGTTGTCGAAAATGAAAAAGATAGCGATAGACGCTTATATACTGTGCGTCATTTTGGAGTAATTTATTATTAAAATAGAAGAATAGTTATTTAATTTTTTTTTTAATTAATTAATTATTTACGTATGTATATATTTTATATGATAATAAAATATATATACATCTTTAGTAAAAAAGGTTAGAGTAATACATGTATAATATTAATTTTGTAAATTTTATTTTTATTTTTAGAAAACAAAATAAAAAAACAACAATTAAAAAAAAATTCTTTTTATTAAAAAAATATTATAAATATAAAAAATTTTTAATTCTTTAAAATTATTCACGTTCCGAGTCATCGGACATATAACTATGATCTTCAACTTCTGAATCTTCTGCGTCATCACTCTCCGTTTCAGTTCTTTCGACAATGTCTTCTATCTTTAAAGGTGTATGGTCTCCAATAAATCCTACTGGTTTTAAATATTCATCTAAGAACCAACCGCAATTCTCAGGCTGAAGTTTCACGCATATTGGATCCGTTGCATTAAGCCACATGGAATTTATGAAAACAGTTCGTAAAATTTTTTGAATTAATGATATCCAGCATGGTGGAATGGAGTTGGAGTCGAAGCCTTTTATTTTTTTTAAAAACTGTTCGCTGTCTTCTTTAGCAGAATAATTTTTCATAAAAATGCGATATCTCGCATCATTTACATTGGTGCAGTTCTGGATACCATACATACTAGCCGTAAATTCTTGAACGATCTTCATTTTTTCATCAATGAAAATATCAGCAGCATCTGTTAATGATGCAAAAACTGTTTGATATTTTTCATTTTTTTAAAATAGCTGAAAAGGTTTTACTTTTCCTTTATTATAAAATGCTGCCGTGTAATCGCAACCTGTAAATGCATTGAAGGCTGGAAGACTTTGGCATAATTTAATTCCTAACTTCAAGGCTAAATCGGTGCAATTAATGCAATCAACAGATTGATTATTACTCTTTTTAGTTGCTGAACTAGCAAGCCAAAATTCTGATTCCATAAGTTTATGTATATTTCCTAACAAAATAATCAAAACGTCAGTATCAGAGGCTTTAATTAAAATTCTTGAGCCTGGTTTTGCTTTAGAAGCATGAAAAATAATCCTTGTATCTGCCTCTTCGTGATGACATTCATAATTAGTTTCTTCAGTTTTTTTTACGGAATTTTCTTGAACTTCATAAGAGTAGCACTGATGGTCGACGGTTAAAAAGATTTTTTTGTTTTGGATTATTGTTGCCAAACGGTCGTTTTCCCAATAATCAGCCAGAAACTGCACCAGAGCTTCTTTAAATCGATAATTTTTAAGACTTTGCAAAAAATTTTTTGGTCTAGTTTGCTGAGGTCCCGAGATGTTGTACGGAATATTGAATTCTTTTCTGCTTTCACGTTCGGAATCTTTTATTGACGGTGATAAATAGCGATCGAAAATTAAATGTATTTCTGTTGCGTTTGTTGAACATATTTTTATAAGTATTGACTCGGCAATTTTATCAAAAGTTTGAGCTATAGAAGATCCGATTAGGTGCAAGTAGTAAAAACCATCTATCATTTCAACGTTGATATGTGTTGGCTGAACCATTTCAGTTTTGGATTTCAAAATCTTTGCTAACGTTGATTTTGTAGTTTTTAACATCTCTCCAGTACATGAAAAAAGAGCAGGGGGCAATGGTGCTAGTGGAAAAGTCAGGCAATATTCGAAATTAATTTTTTTGTTCAGACTAATTGCCAAAAGTCGCCCAAATACGTCTCGTTCCATTTTCAATAATACTTTCTTGTTTTTGTCTTTGGTACTGAGGACTTTAGTCATACATTGAGAAGCAAAATTGTAGATTTTGTTTCGTTTTATAGGTTTATCGAATCTTGCGGGAGTTGAAGAGCATTCCGAGATAAAATTTAATTTTTGTTGATAGCCTGCTGTTTTCACGTTCAGCAGGAAATCAGCAACTTCTTTAGATGTAGCTTTACCCGTTGAGATGTTGAATAATATATCTTTGTCAATCGTGTCATCAAATGGATTCATCGTACATTTTATTGCTTCAATGATACTGTTCAGATTTTTTTTGTCTTTCTTAATTTTACTTTGTTGCAAGGAGTGCGAAGTATCATCTTTTTGCGTTAATCCAATATTTTGTTTGATAGATGTTAATATCTTTGTCCTCATGCTATGACTGAGCGCCCATCTTTGACGTGCAGATATTGAGTCTGCAGCAAGATTATCAGCCAATTGATTGCTAGCATCAGCGTTGATAGTCTGCTCTAGCGTCAAGTCAACTGGTGATCGAGAAAAATTTGCTGCAGTTCGTCTAATTCCAAAGGCGCCTCGACGAAATTCAGCTATCAAAGATGAATTATTGGTATACAAATTGATTAAATTGCTCAAATATAACAAGGACCATCTGGCATAATTGGGCTGGTTTAACGCAAAAAATATATCAGACATGTTGTAAATTGAGTCCACGTACAGTTCAAAATTACTGGTGCGGATACTTCTAGAAAACCGATGGTATAAATTAATTAACTCACAGTACTGGTAATAAAATTGAGCAGTTTTCCCATGTGCTCCTATCAAAGTTTGATTGCAGAATTCTTTATAACCGTTCATAATACGACTCAATAAATCTGGTAACTCTATTGTTTTGTTGACGTCATACGTAGCTTGATTTGATGCATTCTGTATTTGCGTTTGCAGCAGTTCATCCATCGCCTCAGGTGTTACATTAGTTGTGGATAAATACTGTTCAAAATGTAATATTTGTAATGCAGCAGCAGTTAAAGGATGTAAGCGCTTGCAACGATTAAAATGCTTGCTGTCTAAAAAGCTATTCGTGGAGCCGCCAGCTAATACTTCTGCTTGCACCAGTACTTCCACTAATCCACTGCAGTCAATATATTTTCCAATGGCTTTAAAAAATGCCATTTCTATGTGGAACGCCCCCAAGTTAACAAAAATATTATTGTATAGTGGTTTTTCTTGTTCTTGAATTTGCATTGCCATTTTTGCTATCGCTAAATCATATGTTACAATAATTTCTGGCTGCTGACATTTTTCAGCAATTTCTTTAGCCATGTTTAATGTTTCATTGACTATTGCATATGACGTTGGTGAAGAATTTATGGGAGATAAATACTCAATTTTTTGCTTCTCACTGTGGTCACTTGATATCATACAATTATAACCCAACCACATAGGAACAGAATCAATTCTTGACAACGACATTATCCATAATAAATCCTTATCTATTGCTATTTTCGCAGCAGCTTTGCATAAATTCATTGTATTAGTAAACGAATCTACAGTAATTAGCTGCATACTTGCTTTAGGTTTAGAATAATATGGTCGAATTTCTCGTGATATTTCACTGAAACGTCTTCTCTTGCGGGTAGGTCCTTCTCCATTTTCGTTGTCATTTACTTCAAGCGCTGATGAAGTTGTAGCTGCACCATCATCAAAATTATCAGCTCCATTACTAGAGAATTGATAAATAATTCCAACTGTGTCGTGCATTGTGTCCTTTCCAGAAGTTGTGTCAACGAAACGGTCGAAATTGTCGAACGCTACGTGGGTGCTGTGTCCATTTGCTGCGATTATGCCTTTTGGTATAACTTTGTTATCTTGGATTGATGTATATGTCATTTCAGTTTCCAATTCTTCTGCCAAATTATAACCAATCGTATGGCCATATCTATTAAGTATCGTGATTACTTGCCGAGAGTTGGTTAAAGATTTCATTGCCAGTCCAAGGGTTAAACTTTTTGCGGGCTTACATGTACCCCTAGTGACAGCATAAATAATATCACTACATATTGACGTTATTTTAACTTTCAGTTTGTCCGAATTTTCATCAGAAATATTAGGTCCTTGGATAACATTTCGCATAAAATCAAATAATTGCTCAGGAATGTCACATTCTCCACGAATGATATCATCAGCAGTTACGTTACGAGGAAGCGGATGAGCATCTATATTTTTAATGCAACTTCTCAAATAATATGCAACATTTTCAAACTCATAATCATTTTTTGTCTCCAAAAGTTTGAAATTGTTTGCCATTACAGAAACGTCCATGTCTGTTTTGTACACAATTTTTTTGTTACGTATTGCAGTTGACGCTTCAATTGTAATACGATCACCAAATTTTCTAATTAATTTTTTTTGCAAGGTTTCAGATCGATAATCTTGTATATCATCGAAATCAATTTCATAATTTCCGAACTCTAACAGTAGAGCTTGGTATCTTAAAAATAATTGAGCCAAGTACATAACTTTGTTGTTTTCTATTATTTCTGTTTCAATGAAATTCGATATTGATTGAAAGGCCAACTGATGTAACTGTCTATATTTACTATAGCTAGAATCAGTAGATTCTTCCATGGACCGCTTCTCTTTTGATTGATACACTGCATAACAAGGCAGATGGTATGCAATAGTTTGATGTTGAAGTTTGGAAAGAATCTCTAAATCTCCAAAATTTTTCGCCATATCTTTTATCTGCTGTGGTACTGTCACTACTAGGAAAAGTAAGATTAATCAGCTTCTTCCCACATCTCTTTTGGCTACGATCACAAAACAGACAAATAATTTTGCTTGATGTTGATGCTGTTGATGTTGACTGCTCCTAAAAGAATTAAAAACATTCTTTAAGTAAAAATTAATGAAAAAGAATTTAATTAAAAATAAAAAATCAATATATTTTCATATAATTTTTTAAAAAAGCTTAAAAAAAAAAAACAAAAATATTTTATTACCTTGTCAAAGTCGCCAAAAATTGAAGACAAGTCTTCAACATTACTCTTTTCATCATCAGCAACTGTAGCACCGGAATCGACAATAGGACTCAACTGTTCTGATTCTTTTTCAGTAGTAGATGCATTGGTATTCTCCTAAAAAAAACGATTTTTACAATTAAATAAAAATGTTTGATATATAAATCTTATAAGCTTTTTGATTTGAATAATTGATTGAAAGTATTCTTATTTAATTATGTTACAAAAAAACGAAAATCAGATCATTTTCTTGTTTAAATTATAAACAACAGTTTTTTAAGTTAATTACAAAAAAATTATATGTGTCGAAAATTAACAAAACCACATATAATAATAAGTAAATTTTACTAACAATTATTTCAACATGAAAAAAATATAGAAGTTGTATTAGCTAAAATAATTTTAAAGATTCAATTATAATGTACTTACTGTATATTCAGCACAAAAATTATCAAATTCATCATTATATTTTTTATTTAAAACGGTCACTTTTTTATAACACATGCTATGGTAACCTAAAAATTCAAGTGACGCACCGGTTAGCTCAACAACACTGTATTTAAAGTTTTTTTTTTTACGAAAAGCTAACTTTAATACACAATTTTTAAAAGTTTCATCATTAAAATCGATTACATCACCATCCGAATCACATAAAAAACACTTTTTGCCATTTTTATCAAAAATAAATAGTAGCACGTTTTTTCAATTGTAACTACAACAACAATCTACTCCAAAATGACGCACAGTATATAAGCGTCTATCGCTATCTTTTTCATTTTCGACAACAAATAGCATGCGCACTCTCTTTCTTTAAATGGGCGGGCTTCAAACAGCTGCTATGCTGCGCCCTCTTCTATCGCATGGGATAGTTGGTTGGGACCTCTCTGTCGCACGGACTGACTCGCAGCAATATTTTAATTTTTAAAATTCGACAACCGGAATTTGGGACTGATTTTTCGTAGGCAACCCTATACCATCGTGTTTGTAATAAAATAATCTTTATTTTCACCTATATTTTATTAAATAATCATACCGGTGCAAAATGCTAATATCAACCTACCTATTTATACCTGGCAACCCGAGAGTTGTGACCGGAAAACAATAGGCAACCTAACGTTTGCATATTCTAGGGACTTCATACTTTCAATTGATGTATAATTTATGCAATAATCACGCCGGTTAAATATTCAAAAAAATATATTTTTTTAATTATTAATTAATCATACTCTGGATTGAAATTTGCTAGGCAACCCATATGCAATAAATTTATTAACATATAAAATTATATATAAAATATGTTTTATCAAATAAACATCTCGGTGAAGGTCGTTGTATAGCGGGATCTTATACTATCAGAATTCTTGCCCGAAGGTCAAACGGTAAATAAAGAATATTATTTGAGCGTCATGCGGCGTTTAAGAGAACAAATTCGACGAAAAAGGCCAGAAATGTGGAAAGAAAATTCTTGGATTTTGCATCACGATAATGCGCCTTCGCACAAGGCCATCATTGTAAACGATTTTTTGTCCAAACACTCAACAAACACCATATTCACCAGATATGGCTCCAGCCGACTTCTTTCTTTTTCCCACACTCAAATTACCCCTTCGTGGCACCCGTTTTCAATCGTTAGAAGACATAAAGGAGAATTCGCGGCGAGCACTGAACTCAATTCCGGAAACAGCGTTTAAAAAAAGTTTCGATGATTGGATTATTCGTTGGCGTAAGTGTATCGTTTCTGAAGGAGCATACTTTGAAGGTGATAAAATAAATTTAGACGAATAACAAACATTTTGTGTCTTATTGACGTTTTCCCGGTACTTTCTTGACAGAGTAGTATAAACAGCTACACATACACAGCTAAAACAACAAGAATTGCGCAGTATTTGATTTACAATTTTTTTATGGTAGGTAAAAATCATCGAATGACGAACCCCAACCCCTTGGGCGGAGTGGGAAACAGTGTCAGACTCTTACTGACTAAACAACCTACCGCGTTCCTTCCTTGCTTTAAACGCAGGTGTAACGATTTCGCATCAACCCTTTGCCCCAGCAGGCTTCGACAGTCCGGACCAGACCGGACTGTTGACCAGACAAACGGACGCCGAACTACCCATTGTTCACTGTCCGCAAGCCCACGCCTAAGTGGCCGAAAATCGGGATCGGGATCAAGACGGCGGCGCACGGTGGTCTGAAAATCGGCTTTCATAGATATAGGGATTTGAATTTGCAAGTGCTGGTTTTTATGTCGGATATAGCTTCTATTAGTCATTACTATGTACAAAAATGACACCCGAGCTAATTCTGCCCAAAAACGAAGGAAATTTTTTTTATGAAAAAATTGTATGAAGCTAGTATGAAAAATCTAATTATCTCCTAAACGGCATGTTTAACCGTAATATCATTGGAGGTGGTCATAGTGCTAATTATTTATGATTTTTTGGTTGGCGATCGGACCAAAAATTTAATGCCGTTTTTTTTTAAAAATCGTTAAAATATTTTTATTTATTTTTACGTGTAAAACGATCTCTTTTAGTGTCCAAGTTAAAAAGTTCGATATGTTATTAACCCGAATATTAAGAACACACGAATCAAGAAAATTGAAATAAAATAATTGCTTTTTTGACACATTTATATTAATTTAAATAAAAAAAAAAATAACAAATTATTATTAACCCTTAAATACCTCGAGTATCAATTTTGATACCGAACTTTCAAACCGAATGTACTACTCTGTCAAGAAAGTACCGGGAAAAAGTCAATAATACACAAAATGTTTGTTATTCATGTAAATTTATTTTATCACCTTCAAAGTATGCTCCTTTAGAAACGATACACTTACGCCAACGAATAATTCAATCATCGAAACTTTTTTTAAACGCTGTTTCCGGAATTGAGTTCAGTGCTCGCCGCGAATTCTCCTTTATGTCTTCTAACGATTGAAAACGGGTGCCACGAAGGGGTAATTTGAGTGTGGGAAAAAGAAAGAAGTCGGCTGGAGCCATATCTGGTGAATATGGTGGCTGCTCGATGGTGTTTGTTGAGTGTTTGGACAAAAAATCGTTTACAATGATGGCCTTGTGCGAAGGCGCATTATCGTGATCCAAGAATTTTCTTTCCACATTTCTGGCCTTTTTCGTCGAATTTGTTCTCTTAAACGCCGCATAACGCTCAAATAATATTCTTTATTTACCGTTTGACCTTCGGGCAAGAATTCTGAGTGCACAACACCGCGATAGTCAAAGAAAACAGTCAACATGACTTTGACTTTTGATCGACTTTGACGTGGTTTTTTCGGTTTTGGTTCAGTTGGAAGGCGCCATTCCGAAGCTTGTTGACTAGTTTGCATGTCAAACTCGTAAACCCACGTCTCGTCACCAGTAACAATGCGTTTCATGAATGTTGGGTCGGTATTGACTCGTTCTAGCATGTCCTCAGTGACTTTCATGCGATTTTGTTTTTGAAGAAAATTCAGGTCTTTTGGGACTAGCCGAGCGGCAACACGTTTCATACCCAAATTATTTGTTAAAATGGTACGGATCGACTCGTGAGATACAGAAAGTTCGGCGGCCATCTCTCTCAAACTTGAATGAGGATTTTCAGTCACTATTTCCTTCACTTTTGCGATGTTAACTTCAGTTGCGGACGTTGATGGCCTACCAGAATGAGGCAAATCTTCCATCACATCTCGACCGCTTTTGAACGCTTTGTACCACTCATAAGCACGTGTTTTTGATAAAGTCGATTCACCGTAAGCCTTCTGTAACATTTTGAGTGCCTCCGAACACGAAATTTCATTGGCGATGCAAAATTTAAAACAAACTCTTTGTTCGATGTTTTTGTCCATTATGAAATTCGCAATACACACTAGATATTATAAAACTAAAAACAGCACTGTTTTTAATATAAATAACAGATGCAACTCAAATTCCGCGCCAAAATGGAAAACAGTTATGCCAATCTAACAACAACAAAAAAAATTAAAATTCGAATTTGGAACCATAAAAGAAATATTCATTCCCGATACTTTGTTGACTGAATGTATACTTGTAATTCGTTTTTTTTTTTAATGTTAGGCTGATTTATAATATTATTGCATAGTGTTCTTTAGATCGAAATTAAAAAAAAGTCAAATGTCAACATCGTTTGATTATCTATGACATTTTGCTTTCCCGCCTTATTGAACAAGTGAACACACTTTTTGAAAAAGTTTGGTGCGGTTAATTCCAAATAATAAAAATACTTTTGAGGTGAGTAAATATCATAATTATCTTATAATATAATTTTCTTTTTTCTTTGCTTGAGGAGAAATGTGCTATTTTTGTGAGTATCAATTTTGGTACTTCAGGCATTCCCGGCTCTTTGAAACTTAGTGACTACTTTTTTAGCTAATTATAATTTTTAGATAAAAGCTTGCCTTTTTCGTTATTTTTCTGCTTGGTTTGGTGTTGGAATAACTTTTTCTCAATTGCTTTATAGATATTTATCGAAAATGAAGCCAGAGGATATCAAAACCATTTTGAGACAGCTGGAAAATGGTGAAATTTCAGAGGACGAGTCCAGCGATAATGAAGATGAAATCGACTACTATTTGAGTCAAAGAGATCTTCAGATGGAGCTAGAAGATGAAGATCATGAAGGTATTTCATCCGCAGACCCTGAGTTAGAAGCGAATTCGCCGTTAGACAACGAATCTTCTGAAATGCATAATTTAGGGATCACTGAACAAAGTCCAACTCCTTCAGTGAATAATTACACCTGCAACCCTCGAAATCTAGTATGGAGAGTAAAAAATATGGACACTATTCAAAACGCTTTCGAATTCAAAGGAAACACTGCGTGCTCACCAGAAATTCTAAGTTTGGAAACGGCATTTCAGTATTTTTCTTATTTCTTTGATGAAGAATTATTGAAATTTCTTATGGACGAATCCAATAAGTATGCTTTCCAAAAAAATCCTAACTTTACAGAACCTGTTACTGTTTCTGAGTTACGAAAGTTTCTTAGAATTCTACTTTTTACAAGTGTTTACCATTATCCTAGTGTCAGGTCGTACTGGTCAAATATAGTTAAAGTCGAACCCATAGCACAAACAAATCAAACAAATTTTTCATATGAATGACGACACTAAGCATTTGCCCTCCGATCATGCACAACACGACCGACTCCATAAAGTTAGACCAGTGATAGATCATTTGAATAAAAAATTTATTACTGTACCATTCGACCACCGACTATTACTAGACGAGCAAATGTGTGCTACCAAAATAAAGCATTTTATGAAACAATATTTGCCAAATAAACCCCATAATTGTTTACATCGGCTCCGTAAAACTTTTATTATTAAAATCGAGTTTAGTTAAATTAGTAGTGAAGTAACTATAATTCGAAGAATAGTCGTGCAACGCATGTGTGTGATTGTTATCTTCGTGATTAAAACGATACTCTGGACGTTATTACGCATCTAACTCTTAAGTGTATACTTGTGTTTTTACAGTGAACAGTATAAAAAAACATTAATAAAACTACTTTGACGTGAGTATATGCGAATACTAAACCTTCTAACTTAACTCTCAGTATATAACAGTGTTTCTCAAAGGAATTTAAAATTACGGTGTTTTGAAAAATCGTTTTTTCTTGTATTTAAACACATCTGATCTAACAGACCAATCAGCTCATCAATAAACAATTCAATACGAGAACCTAGCGACATCTAGTGTCTAGAAATAACGCAACTAGTAGTGACATCTAGTGTCTACAAATAACACAACTAGTAGCGACACCTAGTGAATACTACCTGAAATACGACGATTGCTTACTAGCTATCGATTAGCAGTGTCAGAAAGATCCCAAACAGAAATAGTAATATCCGTAAGATGGCGCTAGTTACCTGTTACAAATGCAGGAAACAAGTTAGTACTACTAAAGTTATTGAATGTACTTCGTGTAAAAATAACTACGAATTTACTTGTGTCGGTTTTACGGAAAAGCCAAAGAATAGTAAATGGCAATGTCCGGCATGCAATAAAAACCAGAAAAGTCAAACTTTTACGGAAAATGTGACGGCAAACGTGACTATGAGGAAAAAACAGTCTGCTAGTACCGTAACTAAAAAGTTAGCCTCATCCTCAGCAGCAGTCACCACACAAGAGATTACACCCTGGTCTACACCAACTAGCACAATGTCTGAAAAATTGGATTCTGATATGTTTTCAGATGCTAATTCTGATCATTTACCCGTGTGTATGGCTAACGAAACACTATCAAAAAGTATGGACTACACCTTAACCGAAATGATTCCTGTCCACGAAATGAAGGAATCCATTGAGCAACTCCAATTAGAACTTTGTATCTCTCAAAACGAACTTGAAAATGTGATACTTGAAAATAATGATTTACGTTCGCAAATAACAAAACTTAGCAAAGAAAATAACATGTTAAAGACGCTACTCTCCAAAACTCCATCTAAGAAAAGTAAAACAAACAATAGTGCTTGTAAACAGAAAAGTAGATGCTCCCTACAGTATTCAGACATTAATATCATGGCTACACCGCCTAGAGTATCCGCCATTAATGACAAAGGAATAGCTTCCATAGAAAACCACGTTGCCTTACAGGAAAACCTTTTAGATCTAGAGATGCAACTAAAAACAGCAAAGCACGAAATATCCAAACTTAATGAGCAAATTGGAGTTTTGCAACAAACATTGCAGACCAAACAATGTGGTGAACTGCAATCCTTAAATGATGCAAATTGCATACTCAATTGCAACAATAATAAAATAAGAAGGAAACTATGTGTGTTGACGAATGGCATCCCGGGAGATTCCCTGCAAGCTGTAGAAGACACATTTGGTAGTCAGTTTCAGTACATCCGATATGTTTTGCCTAACTGTAACATAAAGGACCTATTAGACAACATAAACACTAAATTAGTAAACTATGACTTAAGTGATTACTGTATTGTTATGTTGGGAGGAAAAGACTTACATTCAACATGTAACTATGTGGAACTGATTAAAATAATTAGGGACGCTCTGCAGCATATAAACCATACTAATATCATTGTTTGTACTCCTTCATATGTATGTGGAGCTCCCATATATAACTACAAGGTGGAATTGTTTAATAATTTGTTATATTTAGAACTAGGAAATTATGATACAATATATTTTTATGATACAAATTTACCAGTTACATTTGATATGTTTTCACCTAAAACCGGACAATTAAACAAAAGGGGAGTAATAAATATTTATAAAAACATATTAAACAAAATTAACTTTGATTATAAATACTATGGTTGCTTGTCATCTGATAACAAGATTGTTGCTAAGTCAAATGTTGAATCATCTAAGTTTTTTCTTGTGCAGTCAAAGCAAAATTAGTGTAAAAGGTTCTATAAAGAAAAAGAAGCGGAGATCTAAAGTTAGGAAACCCTATAAGAAAATTTTTGTTTACTACCAAAATGTAAGAGGACTCCCTACTAAAACTGTTACTTTTTACAACAGTGTTTCTGCGTCATCTAGTGATCTTGTAATTCTTACTGAGACCTTTTTAAACAGTTCTGTTCATGACGCTGAATTGTTCCCTCCGGAGTATATTGTACTAAGGAGGGACCGACAAGGCGATGTTGGATGGGGTGGCGTCCTTTTAGCTGTCAAGAGTTCTTACTCAGTCCAAAGAATCACAAATATTGATCAATTAACAGATGATAAAGAAATACTGTTTGCTACTATATCTTCAAAAAATATTAAATTTTTAGTCTGTGTTGTATATTTACCACCGAATTATTGTGATAAACAGTATCTAGATGTATTGAGTTGTATAGAAAATGCTGTGAGCATGTATTCAGAGTATCAGTTTCTGATAGTTGGCGACTTCAATCTTAAGTCTTGTAATAAGTCCGTCAGGACTCAATTTGACAACTTCTTAGATTTCTGCAAGCTCCAGCAATGTAATGCTATTTGTAATAAATATGGATGCATCCTGGATTTAGTGCTAACCACACTTGATAGTAAAAGCATTAACGTAACATCAGATGTCGAACCATTAGTGTCTATCGATGCCTATCACCCGCCCCTAGAAATAGTACTTGCATTGCCGAGAGGTAACATTGTTGATAACCCGCTGATACCAAGTCAAGATTTAAATGCTGAGTGGGATTTTCACAAAGCCGATTTTCAAGGGCTGTATCCAGACATAATTAACATAGACTGGACAGATCTACTGCAGGAGAAAGATGTTAACTTAGCTGTTGATATTCTGTACAGTAAACTGAATCATGTTATTAGTTCACGAGTACCACGTAAAACAATAATAACCAATAAATATATATATCCAACCTGGTACACTAAAGAAATCATACACTACATAAAACTAAAATACTTTAATCTTAAAAAGTGGAAGAGCTTAGGACTAGAGTTCAATAGAGAATTATTTAAATACTATAGATCTAAAGTTAAAGAATTAATAAGTATTGCTTTTAACGAATACATAAAAAAAAATAGAAAATAATATAGCTCATGATCCATCCAGTTTTTGGAAATATATAAAGGACAAGCGTAAGAATAGACAGCAGTGCAAAGAATATATTTATAGTAATAAAGTGGTTGAAGGACAAGAAGCTGCTAATGCATTTGCCGAGCACTTCAGTTCCATTTTTCATAAAAACTCGCCTTTCTTAGACGCGGAGACTGCTGAGCGGGAAGCAGTTCATGCAGGGTTTGTGTCTGGGGTTAGAATAGACTACATTCAAAATTCCGAACTACGGCGCGCTGTTAATAGCCTTAAGGTCTCATCAGCTTATGGCCCAGACAATATACCTGCTTTTTTAGTTAAAGTCTGTGCGTCTGTTTTGGAAGTACCGCTACTGTATATTTACAACTTGTCACTTCGCCAATGTCTATATCCCAATAAATGGAAAGTAACCAGAGTCACCCCAGTACCTAAATGTGGATCGTCCAATGATGTGACCAACTTTCGACCCATCGCTATTCTCTCGGTTTTTGGAAAAATATTAGAATCCATTATCAATAAGTCAATCTATACCCAAATAGCGGGGCTACTTCATTCTTCACAACATGGATTTCGGCCAAAACGATCCACTTTGACTAACCATATTCACTTCGTAGACTATGCAAAAACTAGAGTCAAGTCAGGTTGCCAGGTCGATGCTGCGTACTTCGATTTTAAAAAAGCTTTCGACCTGGTAGACAATGACATTCTTCTTAGGAAATTAGCTTCTCTAGGTTTTTCTAAACCTCTTCTTAAATTTATGGCAAGTTACCTCAGGAATCGTAAACAGTATGTCAAGATAGGAGGATTTAAATCTGAAGAATACTTCACTCGCTCAGGTGTTAGTCAAGGAAGTACACTAGGTCCTACTCAATTTCTAATTATGATAAATGATTTGCCTACTGTACTCTCCACAGCACAATGTCTTATGTTTGCGGACGATTTAAAACTATTCCTGTCAGTGACTAACATTGAAGAGTGCACAGCACTGCAGCGCGATATAGAAGCAGTCAAAAAATGGAGCATCGAGAATAAATTATCTTTCAATACTTCGAAATGTAAAACAATTAGTTTTTCCCGATCTCGTTCTCCTATAAAAGCCACGTATTTATTAGATGGCGTACCATTAGAGCGTGTACTATCTATCAAAGATCTTGGCTTAATTATAGACTGTAAATTAAATTTTCGAGAACACATTGCGAACACTTGTAAAGCAGCTAACAAATGTCTAGGATTCATTATTAGAACATCATCCCAATTCAAAAATGTCCACGTAATAAGGCTTCTTTATAATTCCTATGTTCGTAGTAAATTAGAGTACAACGCTATTATTTGGAACCCTCAAGAAAAATTATACAGTGCTATGGTGGAAAAAATTCAGCGAAAATTTGCGAGGTACTTATACAAACGACAGTATGGGTATTATCCATTTCTATACCCTTCCTTATTTGTATCGGGGATGGTTAGTATTGACACTTTACTACTCAGACGCGATCTATCAATGTTAATGCACTATTACTTCTTGCTTATAAATAAGATCGACAATGCACCCGTACGTGAATGCATTTATTTCTATGTCCCTGACAAATACATGCGTAGTGGCAGACGGCAACATAGACTACTGTCGTGTCCACCTAGTTGGCCTCTCCTCCAGATGCACAACAGCCCTACTGCTCGAGCCGTATCATTAATAAATAGCTTTCTACAGAATACTCCGGATGCAGACATATTTTTTGATGCTCCTTATGTCATAAAGAAAATGTTCTACCCTTTTCTGAATAGTTTTATGAAATAATTTATGATTTTTTGTCTTTGTTAATTGTATACATATATATTTTATTATTGCATTGTAATCTTAGCTATTTTTCTGTAAGCTTAGTATAGATATAAGCGTTTTGGTGTTACTGTAAGCTTGTATTCTTATGAATAAATGAATTTGAATTTGATAAGTGGGGATTCAAATTATATGTTTTATGCTCTCTTTCTGGGTATGCATACAGTTTTGAAGTTTACTCTGGAGCTAAGAACTTTGAACGTCTACCTGGCGAACCAAACCTCGGAGTAGTATCAAATACTGTTATACGACTGTTACGACCAGTCCCTAGGCACATCAACCATATAATTTATTTCGATAATTTTTACACTAATATTCCTCTGCTACACTACTTGACCAAAGAAGGAATTTATTGCATTGGCACTGTACAGAGAAACAGGCTTGGTAAATCCTGCAAGTTGCCAAAGAAAAAGGAAATTCTGAAGACTAATGTACCCAGAGGCACGTATCATGAAAACGTTGCTTCTTTTGAAGGTATAGAATTTTCGGCAACGAGTAGGAAAGACAATAAGCAAGTTTTATTGCTTTCCATCTATGTTGGTGCTGAACCAGCAGAGACCATAATCCGTTACGAAAAAAACTAAAAACGAATATCCAAGTAGCATGTCCTCGGGTCATAAAGGAGTATAATGCTCACATGGGAGGCGTTGATCTGATGGACAGCTTCATTGGTCGTTATCGCATTCGCATAAAGTCAAGAAAGTGGACAACAAGGCTGTTTTATCATCTCTTGGACATGACTGACTGTGCTTGGGTGCTGTACAAAAAGGTTAGTACAGTGAACAATAAATCACAGAAAGATATAATGAAGTTAGCCGACTTTAGAACCGAGCTTGCTGACACATTATGTCGATATTAAACTTGGTCAGATAATAAAAGAGGAAGACCAAGTAACAGTCGACGAGAAGAGATCCCTGAACCTTCCAAAAAACCACGGGCAGGTGTTCAGGTCCTGCCGTCTACTGACGTACGTTACGATCGAGTCGGCCATGAGAAAATGTTTTTTTATACTAGGAATAATTGTAGAAAACTTACTACATGGATTTGTATAAAATGTAAAGTTTAATTATGTGACAATAAAAATAACAGATGTTTCTCATTATTTCATACCTAACAACATTATTTGTTATTCCAACTTATGTATGGCCCTAATGCCTGGAGTATCAAAATTGATACCAGTTTTTTTTTTCGAAATATATCTATGAAATACATAATGTGATTTTTTTTATTCCATTCCATTTCCATTTATCTGGCTCCTGCACAGAATACACCGATATTTTTTAAAATTTGATTTGAAAAATCAGGCTTCTAAGGGTTAAAGTAACATATAAAGTTATATTACTTACACTACGCATGTGTAAAATAAAGTTAAATAAATAAAAAAATATCATTAAATATTACAATAAAACCAAAGACTCAAATACAAATTTACAAATATGTACATACCTATATATTTTTTTAACCATTTTCCTTATCACTCTCGTTGTCAGACTCCATTCTGAGTCAGCATCCAGATTGGATATATCCAAAAACTCGAACTCAGTTTCCTGAAATCGAATTAAGTCGAGAGTTTCAGCAAAAAAGCTCTGCTTTTTCTTGGCATCTTACTTAGGCCTTTGTGCACTTAGCAAAGGATCCGAAGAAACAGCTAGCATATTTAAAATGTCTTGATTAGAATCCTGCCTGCTTCTTTTCCGCGAATGATGTTCTCGAAACCTCCTAAAATCTTTGCTTCGAGACTCTGAGGCTTCTTCCGAGAGAGTCCCAATCTGCACAATATTATTTTTCTCGATTATTTCAGCCCCATGGATTAATAACTTATGAACGGTTGACGACATGTAGTAGCTGTCGTATAATAATACGTACTTTTCTGCTGTTTTGCGAGCATAATCTCTATATTTTATTATATCGACCTGCTCTCCAGATGTAATTGCTTGTAAAATTACAGCAAATCTTTTGATGAGGTCTTCATCCAAACCGGTTATAGCTGCGGTTTTATTAGGAAACTCAAAGAATTTTCTTGCAGTATTCCCGTCATTGGTGGTTTCCGAGCCTTGTTTTACTATATCAATCAACAGATTGAGCTCATCTTTAAATTTATTTTGAATTATTTTCTTCCTTGTCTGTAGCATTTCTTTGTGCTCATCACTTCTCGCTGCCCACCGTGTCAAGTCGAGCCTGTATGCAATGTGTAACAGACATTCCATACAATTTATACGGGCGTGTAAGGATGACAAGCCAAACTCATACAGGTCCGAACACACAATTTTTATTGTTACAGCATCTAAGCGGTTCATTTCTGTAGGCTTTGCTAAGCACAGGTAGCACGATGCATTTGATCTAGCTTCAGAAAGGTAAGTGCAGACTTTAGCGTCAATCATCGTCATCATTAGTCGATGAGTCACCTTATTATTATTATTGCACTCTGTGGGGATATGGGCCTCAATTTCTTCATCAATTTGTTTCTTCAGCTTAAGGACAACTGCTTCACTCTCCTTTACAAAAGTAAATTGAACTGGACGACAATACAAAACTGAGCATGGTTTTGGGTTCGTCCATAAAATGTTGTCTCCATCTATGAGTTTTAGTGGCACCAAGGAGGTCATGAAAATGCTCGAGTCATCTTCCTCACCCTCAATTTTCTGCTTATATCGGCTTTGGTTAGAAGCACCATCAAATCCCCATTTGGATATCAGCTTCAACTGCTTGTTATGCTCTTCGTTAGAAAGGCTTTGAAGGATTCTTGTAACCGTGATATCAAGTAAAGCTTGAAGTGTAATGCTAGCCGATGAATCAGTAACTGTTACTGATTGCTTCGGAGGGTAGCAATCAAGCTTAGTTTGTTGCACTTTATGTAGTACGATGGATAAATATCCTTAGCACCTTCCCGAATGGCAGCCTCACGCAACGTAATTAATATATTGCCACTTTGAGAGTTTTAGCGAAAGAAGCAATCCAAGTGCCTTTTCTGGCATAAATATGACTGTTTTCGCTGGTTTCTTAAGCGTTTCATTTAATTTAGCGGCTACTTCAGGATTTTTCATCATGTATTCGATGACAGAGGCGATATCTCCATGCCCTTCTTCTTTTAAACGTGCTGCAGCTGCATATACCAATTCACTGGAAGCTTCGCCTGTGTGTTCATCAGATCTTCTCTTTTTTTGTTTACTTCCCAGATCTTCGAATGATTTACGGGATCTTTTCGTCATTGTTCCAATGGACGTTGATGTCGACGGTTCTGGAGAGACTGAGGGCGCTCTTGGTGCCTTATCAACACTTGGTTCTTGATTAACTAAAGTTTGCACAAAACTCGGCCAATCAATATTTGCTCCCAACCAATTTTCGTACTTTCTCCTGAAATTATCAAGGAATCGGTTGGATTTCTGCCACCTTTGTAAAGCGGCTCGCGTAAATCTCCGACAAAATTCTTTGAGAACAACACGATCTTCGTCAGACAGGCAATCGCCTATGCGGGATACAACTGCACCGCACAATACTTCATGATCAAATGAAGTACTCTCACTTCGTAGAAGAACAAACAAGTCTAAATTGGTGATTAAACTTTCCATTCTAAGATTTTATAGTCGCTGATTTAGTGTTAGCAGTTACACAGTTGTGAACAAATTAAATTATAAAACAAAACTTTAGCCCTTTTATTGCAAAACGCCAAATAAAAAATTATTTAACTACCCTCATTAGTTATCTCCTCATTAGCTAATGAAAATCTATAATTGTCACTAACTATTCTTAGGGGCTGTCTCCACGAGCGAGAGAATCGCGACGAGTCCTTATATCGTCGGATAATCTCCACGAACGAGCGATAATTCCGCCGCGTATCGTCGCGAGTCGTTACGGTCGCGTTTCCTTGACGTCACGTTGCCAAAGAAGGGATTCAGTTACGTGCCAGACGAGAGCGAAATAAGTAGTGTCTCAGTCGATAATATAATTCTTTATTATGGATATAGTATTGTGGGGTGCTTCTGCGAGTACGCTAGTGAATATGCAGTTATTGTTATTGTTAAGAATAGAAAAAAGCGCCGTTGGTGGACACATCCCATGTTGCTACGTCGTGAAATTATGAAGAATATCGAAATCATCCAGAATGGTTTTAAGATGAATATTTAATGCCAATTCCTGTTTTCGATGAACTATTAAGTTTACTATCAAGACACTTATCAAAGCAAGATACTAATATGAGGAAAAGTATCGGGCCATGTGAAAGATTAGCAGTAACACTACAGTAAGTTTAAAAGCATATTTATTTTACTTAAACGCTTACATCAAATTAAAATTTACATTCCATCAAAGTGTTCTAACATTTGAGCAATATCGTCCTCGCTTGTTGGTGTGGATGAACGAGAATAAGAGTCTAGCAATGTATGTGATGGTGGTGTGTATTTCTTAATTACGGCCATAATCTCAGTTTTTGCATCAATTAAACAGTCTTCTTTTATTTTGTCCATGAGAGGCAGCAACGAACGGAAAAATGCCTCATTTCCACGCTCGTCGCGATACTGTGGTTGAACATTATTTCTTTGTATATCTATACTCTCGCGCATAACATTCGATATCTCTTTATTAGATTCCAGAAACATTTGGACTAATGTTTTCTTTTTATTAGACGTCGATGGTTCCGTACCACTAGGGATGGTATTAACCGAACTGTCGTCATCCTCAAAAACATCTTGACTGTCCTCATTGAACATGTTTGACGATGTTGAAGCGTGTTCTGTGTGTTTCTTTAAAAAAAGTAATGCATCATAATGAATATACTTTCGTCGTTTTGAGGCAGCTTGGCCGGATTTTGAACATGTTGAATGTACCTAATACATTGATTTTGAACTTTAACTCCTTACGAAACTGATCCCTTAAAGATTTCCATTTTGTCATTAACTCAAGTCCTGAAGCGAAGAGATAACTTTTAATTTGAATAATATGTAAGTATACATATATTATTAATTATTATATATTTTAATAAAAAACAACACAGATAAATAAATCCGAACGCTTGGATGGAGTCTTCGTTTTACATTCCATTTCAAAAAATACTTTCCATCAGGTGTGATTGCAAACAATCGCGAGCCTATTTTATATTAAAAAATATATATATAAAGTATTTTTTTAATAATAATGTCATTTTCCAGATATCTTGCTTCTGGAACAAGTTATAAACGCCTTCAGAATAAGTACAGAATTTCGAAAAAAACGTTGCCTAAATTAATAAAAGAAACATGTGGAATTATATGGACAGTTCTAGCACCTACAGAAATGGCAGCCCCGAACAAAGAATCGTGGAAAACGATCTCAGAGGGATTTAAAGACAACGCGAATTTTCCACATTGCTTGGGAGCGCTAGACGGCAAACACATTAGAATTCAGTGCCCCCGGAATTCCGGCTCTCTATACTTTAATTATAAAAAGTACAATTCAATCGTTTTATTGGCTTTGGTGGATTCGAATTATTTATTCACTGTGATTGACGTAGATTCTTATGGCCGTGAAAATGATTCTACCATTTTTCAATCTTCAATTCTAGGTCGGAAACTAAATGAAGAAGCCCTTGATTTGCCGGAAGAAAAAGAACTGGTATTTGGCGGACCCAAAATGCCATATGTGATTGTAGCTGATGAGGCCTTCAGTATTCATCGAAATTAAATGCAACCGTATCCAGGTCGACCGTCTTCCTACGGATAAAAAGATTTTTAACTACAGACCGCACATTGATAAGAAGAGTGACACTAACCAAAAAAGCTGTTTTTTCGGTAGAAGCGTTTTAAGTTTTACCAAACCGTAATGACTAGTTTTGCACCAGAAAGAAAAAAAATATAATATCATGTTATGGTTTTTATTGTAGAGAGCATTAAACACGACTGGAATGTATTGTTTATTTTTATGAAAAAGTATTTTTAAATAAGATTTTCCCAAAAAAACTTTTTTAGTGACGTTATAACATTAATCAAAACGTTCAGTATTTCCTACTTCGTGACAACTTACCGACACAATAACAATAGAAAAAAATACATTACACAAAGAAAAATCAGTTTTTATTTAGAAATAATATTTTATTGCAAAGTTTAATACAAACTACTCAAACATTAAGTTGTTTGCGATGACAACAGCTAAATAAATCACATTTTTATTAATATTTTCAGACTCAAAACACTTAGGTGTTAAAAATGATAATATAAAAATTATATTATAATCCAAAATATTAGACATTCTAAAGATAAAAACTCAAATTAAGGCTCTTGTTTTGTTTATTAAGGCTTTTTTTAATCAAATAGCTCTGAAAATAACGTAATATCACAATCATGTTTAATTAACTTGCACTTAGTAATAATTGAGATCAAGAAAATTACCGTATCAGATTTATTAACTTATTCTTAAAGGATTCTATCAAAATAAGAAGAAACGTAATAATTAGGAATGAGATTTTGATCAATCAACGATTTGATGTCGTTTTTCTTTCTTTCAGCCAAAGGAAGCTTAGCTGCATAAAGAGGTTTCAATAGATTGTTGGCATTAGGAACTTCGTAACTATTACCTGCCTGTTGCCTACGAGTAGCTACCCTATTAGCTTCTAGTCTAATCTCTTTAAAGTTCTGTTCTAAGTAAGATTTCTTATAAAATATTTTGACTGTAGCAGACTCATTTAAATCTTTCATCATTTTAATGATTTTAATATCACCTATCTTAACTTTTTCTCCTTCCGTATTCTTGGAAAAAATATTCTCACATAAACATTTAATATCGTAAAAATCACTATGGCTCATCAGATTAACATTGTATGCGTTTCCTTTTTTTCGTGCGTTTTTTATTGCTGCAATGTACTGGTCAGGAACATAAATAGGGCCAGATCTTAACATTTTTTTTACTTCTCTCTCAATTGTTGAATGCACTGCATCACCCTCATTTTGTGTGTGACCTTTGATTAGGAATTTGTGGGTTATAGATTTTATTGGCAAAGTTTTTACTGCATACAAATAAAGAGATAACATGAATTGGTTTTTTTGTTGCCCACAACAATTATCAGAATAGAAAATAAAATCGAAATCTGGATGTAATAAGGACATTTTCTCTAAATATTTAAACACACACGTCCCAATTTCATTAACACCTCTTTGACCTTCTACTTCTGTCCAAAAAAAGCATTCAGTGTGATCTTTTCCCAGTTCAAAAATAGTGAAATTCAAACAATTCAATTTACTTTTATAGTAAAAGATTGATATTTCTCCTTTAGGCAAAGTCATAACTGCCTGCAAGTCATAACAAGACACAATGCAATTACTCATTTTCTTATCATTTTCCTTCTCTATTCTACTTTCATCCTTTTCTTTTAAATGATCTTGATATTTATCTTCCAAATTTTCTTTTACATCGGCAATCCTGTAAGCTGTGCAAAGATCACACTGATCTTTTTTAGGTATAAAAAAACTAATGTTAAACTCAGTATTAAAAACTTTTCTATAAATATGTATTTTTACAAATTCGATATTTTTTTCAATGCAATCAGCTTTATAATCTCTGTATAAATCAGCAAGCGTCTTTCCTCCGTCGATAAATTCTCTCGAAGTTTGTCTTCGTAGATAGTGACTTTCTATACGAGGTATACTATTGATGTGACGTCGCACTTCAATTAAATTATCTTCAGGAATGGTTTTTTTATTACTGTGTTTGCCCCTTTGTTCAGGGTCCACTATACCTTGCTCGTTCTTCTTGTCTATCACTGTTCTAATAGGTCGATCACCAATTCCAAGAGTATTTTTAAAAAATATTTTGCACACTCTGTTTTTTTTACCATTTATCTCGAAATGAAATGCATTCTTTGGTTTTCTGCTGCTATTAAGTCTTTTGTACTGATACTTAGGAAATACGTTAACTAAATTATTCGCTATATAATCTCTTTGACGTGTTAGTGAGCCCAGATTCCAAAACGAGTCAAATAATCTTCTGCGGTCATCTTCAGCAATAATATCACGACATTTAAGCCGACACTTTTCATTACAGGGTCCTCTCATCACCCTTTCTGCAACAATTTTTGATGATGTAGATACGTATGATTGTCCTCGATTTCTTCGAATCTGAGCTGCCCTTTTTTTATTAATTCGTCTGATTTTTTTTCGACTATTCCTATTGCCTTCTTCTACAACAGGGTTCAATATGTTAACACTGGCTAGCCCAGGAACTGACGTTAGATTATTAGATTCTAAGGAATGCGTGACAGTACCTTGCCCATCTTCATTGCAGTCATTTCTGATAGTAGTAGGTTGGATTGTAGAGATTTTGTCTACAGCGGCAGAAGCCAATGTCGCCAACGATGGACACTGGTGATTTCTCGTCGAAGAACATTCAGAAGAAGAACTCGACGAAGACGAAGAACTTGACGAGGAAGAGGAACTAGACGAAGAATTGCTCGATGATGAGTCTGAAGAAGAAGAAGAGTCTGATCGTCGACGGTTTGCAGTGGATGGTTTTAATGGTAAGTAACTTGGGTCATCGTCTGAAGCAGGTGAAAAATCACGTGGAGATGCACGACTGGAGGTAGATGACCTGGAATTTCTTCTTTCTA